GGCTTGTAGGCCTGCATTCCTATTGGTCCGGAAAAGCCGGGCCGTGATTGGACGATATAAAGCAATCCTGATTGGTTCGTATACGGGTTGCTGCGATTGGGTAAAACCAAGCGCGGCAAGCTCAAAAGCCTGTCATAGGCTGCCTAGCCGCAGCCAGCTCTATAAAAAGAGCTGCTGCGGCTAGGATTTTGGTCTCAGTATCTGGTTACCTAATAAAGAGCTGTTGTCACTACTTCGAGTCTCGTCTCTCCTTGGGACCCACCGCCCAGACATAACACTAATCGCTCTTAAATAGGCCCTTTCCATAAAAGTATTTAGTTTCTTTCTAAGCCATTTAAATCAATGTGGCCATTGCCTTCCCTTGGAGTGGTATATTCCCACAGATTAATTATGCTGTATTTTGACTGCTCTGCTTTTGTAAGGTTCATTGGTCTTGATTTCTCCATCCTTTGCATAATTTTAGAGGTCTGGATCAAATCCCCACCTGTCTCATGGTTTGTTTGTTTGTTTTTTGTGAAGCTAAAGGCAAACATTCTTGCTCTTTCTCATAGGAAGGTGATTGTACTGCCTGATAATTTTAGATGAATTCATTTGAAGCTCAGTGAAATCCTTTCTTTTTCAAATCAAAACTGTACACAGTTTTTCAGATGGACATGTATATGATAAGAGTTATCTGAGAGTATTATTAAGTTAAGCATTTTATTTTCAACCTCTTTCCAAATGGTCCCTAGCATTGATTGTGCCTTTTTCTTCCCTCCATGTGCCAGCAGATACCCTCAATAAACTCTAAACTATTGGACAGATGGGATTTAGCTCTGCAGAATCCATGCAGATTTCCCTCCCTCTGTATTTAGTATTATTATTTTTCTTTGATTAGTACAAATTTGCATGGAGCAGACATTAAACTGATTGGTCTATAATTTCCTACTTCTCCTTTGGGTCCATTTTTATAAACTGATATCACATTGGCTACCTTCCAGTTCTCTCCTAATGAGCCCAATGTAAGGGATAAATTACATATTTTGTAAAGGGGGCAGCAATTTCACAACTGAGGCCTTTAAAACTCTTTGGTGGATGTCATTAGAGTTCAGCAATTTATTACTGTATAGTCTCTCAAGAGGTCCCAGAATATGTTCTCTTGTTACCTCAACTGGCTTCTCTCAATCGGAGAAGTAGTGATCTTCTCCTATACCTTCTGTAGAAAATACAGAGGTCAAGAATTCATTCAGTTTTTCATCAATTCTACAGTATCCTTATTCCTCCTTTGCCATCTAACAAATCACCTGCTTTTTTTGGCTGGTTTTCTGCACTGAATAGAATGGGAAAAAAAAATTCTGGTTGATTGATTATCATACCCTCCTCCACTTCTTCCTTATGGTGACCCCACACTTTTTCTGCCAGAGTTTATATTCCTTTTTGCTCTTGGTGGGTTTTCTAATTTCTGAAGGAAGACTCCTTTATTAGGGTTCTGGGAGAAATCCTGTGGCCCTTTTCCTGGACTTGGTTGACCTTTTCTTACAATGCATGATTCATTCCACTCGGACTTCAGTTGTTGTGATTTAAAATCATCTCTAAGCAGGGGTGGGATTCAAAAATCCCAGCAACCGGTTCGCTGCCCAGTTGCTGGGTGGGCATGGCCATGGTGGGCGTGGCCTACTGGAACTTCTGGGAGGGCCATTTTTCGCCTTCCCAAGGGTCCAAAGGTTTCCCTCTAGCCTCTGGGAGGCCGAAAATGGCCTCCCCCAGGCTCTGGAGGCCCTCCAGAAGCAAGAAACAGGCCCGTTTCTAGACTTCCGGTATTTCTGGAAGTCCCATTCCCCCCCCCCCCCCGGGGTCCCTGCGCCCCCTGCACTTACCTGCATCGATGGCGGGGGGGGGGGGGGGTGGGCAGGGCAAGCCAGTCAGTTCAAATACTGGTTCAGCAAACCAGATGCAAATTGATCATCTGGTTCGCCCAAACCAGTAGAATCCTACCCCTGTCTCTAAGCATTACAAAGAAATTTCATCCTCTTAACTCTTCTGTCTCTTTTTAACCAGTCCTAACATTTTTCAGAACTTTCTCATTTTTTAGTTAACGGAAACAATGGCAGTTTCCCATTTGCATGCAAGTTAAAGGAAATAGCACTAAGGCCATTGTTTCCTACTAGTTTCAGACAAATGCCTCACACCAGGTTATGGTTACCACCTACATTTAGATCAAGGTTGTTTCTACAGGTACTCCTTGACTTACAACCACAATTGAGCCCAAAATTTTTGTTATTAAGTGAAACAGTGGTTAAGTGAGTTTTATCTCATTTTACGATCTTTCTTGCAACAATTGTTAAGTTACTAACACGATTGTTAAGGGAATCTGGCTTCCCCATTAATGTTGCTTGTCAGGAGATCACAAAAGGGGATCATATAAGCCCAGGACAACCGTCATAAATATGAATCAGTTGCCAAGTATCTAAATTCTGATCACATGACCAGGGGGGTACTGCAATGGTGGTAAGCAGGTGTGGGATTCTACCAGTTCGCACCTATTCACTAGAACCGGTTGTTAACATTCCAAGCAGTTCAGAGAACCGGTTGTTAGAACAAATTACTGGCCTAATCCTATAAAGAAGGCAAGAAGGAAACATTCTGGTGTTGCTTACAGAAACTGCCTCTCCGTTAACCCTTATTACATTCTTGGCAGGACTAGACTTCCTGTCTCAGGAATTTCTCTGGAGTTTTCTTTTTCCTTCCTTTGCTGGTACTTTGCTTGTGTGACCATTCAAAGTTACAATGGCATTGAAAAAAGTGACTTATGACCATTTTTCACTTACGACTGTTGCAGCATCCCCACAGTCATGAGAGGCCAGGTGAGGAGATGCGTGCCTCAGTGTGAGTGATATTGAGTTGGCCACGCCCAGCCAATAACATGACCACCAAGCCATGTCCACCCAGTCACATAACCACCAAGCCACGCCCACCAACTAAGCCTCACCCACAGAACCGGTTGTTAAAAAATTGAATCCCACCCCTGGTGGTAAGTGTGAAAAACGGTCATTAGTCACTTTTTTCAGTGCTCTTGTAACTTTGAATGGTCACTAAATGAATGGTTGTAAATCAAGGGCTACCTGTATTCTGGCTAGAAGTACTACTATCAGTTCTAAGAAACTATTTAAAGCAGCGATCTCCAACCTTGGCAACTTTAAGACTTGTGGACTTCAATTCCTAGAATTCCTCCTCCAGACATATTAACTCAGGAATTCTGGGAGTTGAAGTCCACAAGTCTTAAAGTTGCCAAGGCTGGAGACCCCTGATTTAAAGCACCTAGACCGGTGATGGCTAACCTTTTTGGTACCAAATGCCCTCCCCAAAATACAATGCACGCACCTGTGCATGTACAACAGAGACCCAAAGACCAGCTGGTTGGTAGGAGGCACATGCGTATGTGTGGTGGAGCTGAGCTGGGGCGATGGCTCGTGTGCCCACAGAGAGTGCTCTGCATGCCACCTCTGGCATGTGTGCCATAGGTTTGCCATCACGGACCTAGACATTTGTTTTCTTTGTCATGGCCACAGCCACAGCCATGCTCAGATAGTCTGTAACTTACAACCAGAATTGTGAACAGAATTCCAGTTGCTAAGCAAGATGCTTGCTAAGTGAATTGCAGCTATTTTATGATCTTTTTTTTTTTTTTAGCCAAGGTTATTAAGTGAATCACATGGCAGCCTCATCTAACATAGCAAATAGGAGGAAAGCTGAGAAGAGTACTTTAACAACATCTGGAGCACCACAGGACTGCAGTAGGATAATGCTATGCATTCAAAAAGGGTCCTATTTAAAACACACTGACATGCATGAAATACCCTTCCATGCGGGTAAACCAAAATTAAACCTCTAGGTGGTTGAGTTCCCTGTTCAGTTGAGCCTGCGGGAATTCTTAGAATGCTATGTAAGACAAGGCCCTCATACCAACCATCCCTATTGTCCCCCACCTAAAAATCTATTGCAGACGCTCCATAGCTAAAGTTGTCTAGGTAGGATTAAATGTTCTAATGCAAGGACAAAGTCGTGTGTGCAAGCGCCGCAGTCCCAAAGCTAGCTGTTCAATGATCCATTGATGAAACCAGTGATTAATAGAGGTTTAGCTTTGTAAATTAAGGGTTAGCAACCTTTTTTTTCTGTTGGGGTAATATCTTGGGCAATGCACTTTCAGTAGAGTTTCCTCTAAAATTCACAGTTCAGAGGTGGGGATAATTATTCTCTAAAAGCCCCCCTCCTATGCTCTTTCTGACAACATTTCCTCTAGCTCCCAAACTGTGGGCTGCGTGGGAAGAATAGAAGTCAGACTCTGTGTGTGTGTCTGTGTGTGTGTGTGTGTGTGTCTGTCTGTCTGTCTGTCTGCACTGGCTGCCTTCATAGCAGATTGGAAATTAGACTGAGAATGCATGAAATCAGACCAGAGGCTCCATGAAGAAATGTTGGACACGACCCTGCTGCCAATCCTAGTTTTGCTTGGAGAAAAAGATATTTTTAGTTGTCCTACAACCATTTTTTCAAGACTTGGCAGCAATATGGATTGTCAGCATTTTGGGGAATAATATTTTTTGTATTAAATGTTTGCAAAATATTGTGCATTAATGTTTGCCTTGTAATAATAATAGCTGCTTATTATAGAAAAGAGGGGAGAAACTTTCTAGTAATTTGTTTTTTTTTTAAAAAACTGCCTGAAATAATGCACCATACTGTAATAGGCTATATGCAAATGGAGCCCAGTTGTGTACATATTTATAATAAGAACAGTGTGACGTGATTTTTTTAAACTGTCATAATGCAGAATTTATGTTACTATACAGTTATTCACTTTATTTTATTGATTAGCCCTTGGGCCTTATCAAAGTGCAGAGTTCCATTTACAAATTATTACTAAAATCTTTTTAATATATTACTATACAGTAAAACAGAAGCATCATTGTGTATATTTCATTTCTTTCAGAATGTTATAAATATCTCTCTTTTAACCTTTTCAGATATACCAGTACAAGAAAGTGCACCTCCTCCAGGTTAGTAAAATATCTATTTGTCTGTCTGTCTTTCTGTCTGTCAATCTCCGTCTGTCTGTCTGTCTGTCTGTCTGTCTGTCTGTCTATCTATCTATCTATCTATCTATCTATCTATCTATCTATCTATCCATCCATCTATCCATCCATCCATCCATCCATCTATCTATCTATCTATCATCTATCTATTATTTCATTTCCTGTACAAGAACCCATGTTTTAAGTGCAGACTGATGGAAATTATAATTCATCATATGTAAATAGGTGCCATTTCTGTCCTTAGGAGATTGTATGCTAACAAGTGGGTTTTTATTAAAAAAAACAATAAATGCAAAGATCCAGCTTTATACTATGTAAAGGTATTCAAGTTATTTGTAATACTGCTATGAAGTATCCCAATTCCCAATAGTTTAGTTTACACATTTAAAATGTTAATACAGTGTTAACACTAGTATCTGAAACATACAAAATATTTATGATCAGGGTGTTTCTTTTAAAAATGTGCTTCTATTTCCTATATAGTAGAAACTAACGCTCAGAAAGAAGGGAAACCCGCAGAAAAAGGTGAGTACAAGTACTCTTCAAATTCTAGACAAGACCTCTCTCTCTCTCTCTCTCTCTCTCTCTCTCTCTCTCTCTCTCTCTCTCTCTCTCTTTATCTATCTATTGTAAGTTTGTTAAAATAGCAGAATATTGTAAAGGTCTCATTAGGAATCTAAAGAAGCGATTAGAAGTATAAACTTGTTCTACCACACATTAATATTTTTTGTGTGTTGTTGAGTTTCTGAGAATCTCTCTCTCTCTAAGGATTTAGTTGCTAGTACAGTGTTCTGTATTGTCTAGGAAACAGAAAGATCAAAGTTTCTCAGAATTTGCTTCCTGTTGACTACAAGGACACATCCATGCTGTTTTTCAGCAGCATTTTCTGAGATGTAAATCTATATCTACTGAGTTGGCTCTATGGATTTGCTGATAGTCCTCCATTCAAATAGTAACCTATATGGGCCTTGCTTAGTTTTTTTTCCAAGGTCAACCAGAGATACCGAACAATTGCTGTGGTATCCTTGGGATAATTAAGGAAGTTTTATTTATAAAATAAGCCATCACAATTCTACTTTAGTACACGAAGCAAATGCAGTCTTTCGCATTTTTCTTCATCTCTATTGATTACTCTGATCAGATTCTAAATAGAGGTTTTTCTCGTAGCTATTGTTAATGCTACGTTGCATTATTTCATTTCCTGCACAAGTACCCATGTTTTAAGTGCAGACTGATGGAAACTATAATTCACCATATATAAATAGGTGCCATTCCTGTCCTTAGGAGGTTGTATGCTAACAAGTGGGTTTTTTATTAAAAAACAAAGAAACAAAAAAAATGCAAAGTTCCAGTTTTATGCTATGTAAAGTTATTTGTAATACTGCTATGAAGTATCCCAATTCCCAATAGTTTAGTTTACACATTTAAAATGTTAATACAGTGTTAACACTAGTATCTGAAACATACAAAATATTTATGATCAGGGTTTTTCTTTTAAAAATGTGCTTCTATTTCCTATATAGTAGAAACTAACACTCAGAAAGATGAGAAACCCGCAGAAAAAGGTGAGTACAAGTATTCTTCAAAAGCTAGATGAGACTCTACAGTTCAGGTAGATTATGTTTCTGTTCTTCTTTGTTTAGTCTGGTCCCCCTACTCAATTTGAATTTCATTTCTCTTAAAAGTACAATCAACCATATACCATCCTGGATTATTTTTGTGCATGTCTCAGAGTCAAAGTTTACTCACTGTCTTTCTCCCTTTTCCTTTAACAGTTGATTTGGTCCATTGTGTACACTTTTTTTAAACAAAGAATACATCTTATTATTATGGGTAAGGTAAAGCAATCTGTAGACATTTATGATTTAACAAGTTAATACTGGATTATTATTGTATACATTACATCTATTCTGGAAAAGCTTCAGCGATATAAAATGTCACCACTTGTCTAGAATAAAATCATTAAAAGATGTAATCCCAGTATTATTCAACATTTAGATAATCAGACAGACAAATAGAGATAGAGATATTACATCCACATACATATAGCATTTGTTTGTACCAATATGTAATATACAATATATGTATAAATGTTTCTCATATATTTTATTCCCTAATATGCATTTATTAACATCCTTTTTTCAGAAAATATAGCAACTACAATATGACTATAACTTGGAATACTAACATTGATTTACTAATATTCTCTAAATCCCATCAGGTATCCCGTTATCTAATGAACCCTCTTTTATTTTCTTTTAACTTATTCTAGCCTGGTTCTACTTTGTCAACATATGGAATGTGTGATTGCAGTTTCTATGAAATCTGTCTTGCTTTCTAGAATACGTTTACCATTTTTAAAATTGGACCAACCATGGCAGATCTGGAAAGGAAAATTAGAAGAAAAAAAATTCAACCCAGTTTTCAACTGCCTTACATCTTATAAATGCTAAACAAGTTGTCCTTTTCCTTCTTTCATACTGTATTCTTTTAATAGCCATTGCAGTAAAGGTATATACACAGGCCATCAGCAGAAATACTGGAATCACTGGGTATATTTCTACATTTGTTATTTCTTTATTACATTTTTATATTTTATTCTACTTGTTATATGTGTAGCACACATGTTATGACAACACATGCTGAATTAAATATGATCAGATGTTCAGTGAAGGGTTTTAAGAAAGGATTTTCTAAAAGTCAATTTTAAAAGAAATTGAGATGTGATTAAAGCCAAATATATTTTTGAAGAATAATGTCTGAGCCACAGTAATAGTTTGGATTCAGATTGTCCAGTTTCTCAGATCTCTCAACAAAATAGTAACCAGTCCTACAAAATATTGTAGCTATATGGTAGCATCCTTGATTGACTGGGTTTCAATTGTATCAACATTTCTCTCTCTCTCTTTTTCCTATTATTTCTAATAAATGTCAATACTCGGAAATCCGACAATTACATTTCTCAATTTTCAGCTCTGTATTGAAAGTGATGATTTCAGACATTGTCTTCATCTTGCTTTCTTTTTTCATGCTTTTGATTGAAAGGCAGTTGGTTAATATCAGTACCACTGGGAAGGCTATTTTCTGGGCCTGTTCCTCAGCTAAGATGTGCTTCAGGCTTCCTTCCTTTGTAATGAGAAGCAACATTTGAGAGCTGGAAAGAACAATTTTGAAACATTGGGAGGAACAAATACTTTGTTTATTTCTGCCTGAGAGTGGACACTTAAAGGGGATCAGAGTAGGGTGCATGAAACATCAAAATGGCAGCTCTGACCATGTGTTTGAAGCCAGCCTCTTTTAGTGCAACACAATTTTTAAAAAGAGCAGGACTTCAATCACATGTTTGTGGGTGCCATATTTATTTTTTTTAACACACACACACAAACACGTAGATATTCCCAGGTGGCTATAGTCCAATATCTTTTTAAAAACCTCCAGTATTGGAGCACCCACAATTTCTGGACCCGAGTCATTTCACTGATTATTGGTTCTAACTGTCAGGAAATTTCTCCTTAGTTCTAGATTGCTTCTCTCCTTGATTAGTTTCCATCCATTGCTTCTTGTCCTGCCTTCAGGTGCTTTAGAAAATAGGTTGACCCCCCCCCCCTTCTTTGTGGCATCCCTTAGATATTGGATCGCTGCCATCAAGTCACCCCAGTCTGTTTCTTAATAGTGTAACAATAATGTTTCTTAATATCATTGTAGAAGTAATTATTATTGGATGAAGTCCTCATTATTGCTTTTAATTGATTTCAGTTTTAGGGCCCATTAACTTATGATGAGTAATCTTAATGCTTAATTCTTCCTTTGAAAGGAACAGAGCACTGAATTAATGTTCTGTCAAAATGCAAATCTTCTACTCGGAAGAAAAGCTTTTTAAACTTAATAGGCATGCATACAACATTCTAGAAGGCTGGGTTTACATACTATACTGGACATTGTACAGTATAGGTTAGGAAAGTACAATATCTGAGTCAATGTAGCGTACTGTGTCCAAAAACATAAACCCATACTATGGATAAACATGGTGGCCTTTTTGCCATAATATGCTAAAACAATTACTACATTTCCACAACAGGCTGAATATATTATCCTTTCCTCTCCTCCTTTCCATTCATTCAAACTTTGATTTTCCCAACCCCTTTTAGTTTAGTGTAACATGTTATGCAAACCCAACCCTGTGTCTTAATTTTGACAGAAATAACAGGCATGACATTTATATTATTTTTACATAGGTAATCTTAATGTGAATGAAGAAAAATAATCATTTGATTTCAGCAATTTTTGTTCTTTCTTATTCTTGATTATATTATTTTTACCTCTTAAAAAAACCCAAAAGATGATGGTGATAAATATATTTGTGGTACACATTTTACTTGCAGACGGAAACGTCACTGAAACAACATCTTCTTCAGGTCAGATATATGGTTGACCTTGATTTTCATTGTAACTTTTTTGTATTCCATTTTCCCACACAGTTTTTGTATTTTGTGTCTAACAAACACAGCCATTTTGAAAACTCCCATTCAAACCCATGTTTTAATAATGGATTACACGTCATCTATCCCATTTTTGTTTTTGCGTGCAGCATTAAAGTTGACCATTGCTCGCTCCCATAAAGCTTTCTTCACAAGTTTACCTTTGTCATTACCAGTTATCATGGTTTTCCCTTCCTTCTATTACAGGTTTCTTGTTTTCCTCCACTTTTACTAAACTACATTGTTGCTTTTTCTTGTCACAATCCTCCATTTTACCTGTTATGTATTTCTTTTTACAGATGAAGAGGATTCTTCAGGAACAGGTCAGGTCCATTTAATGTTATATGACAGCAATAGCACTTAGACTTATAGCCCTCTCTAAGCAGTTTATAGAGTCAGCATATTGCCCCCAACAATCTGGGTCCTCATTTTATCAACTTCGGAAGGCTGGAAGATTGAGTCAACCTTGAGCCATTCAGAATTCAACTCCTGGCAGTGAGCAGTGAGTTAGCCTGCAGTACTGCATTGTAACCACTACACCACCACGATATTAGGATAAAATATGAAGACCTATTAAGATTTAGTTCTTCTGTTCCCAACCAGGGATAATTTCATCTAAAATAAACCAATTCACTTATTTTTGAACAACCCCCCACCCCAGTTGATTTCACTAGAATTTCCCAATAAGAGACTTAGAAAGACTTAAAAATTATTTATTTGTTATATTTATACATAATTTCTTTATCCTGATAAAACTCAAGCATAAGCAAGGTATGTTGACTAGGTTGGTTAATGAGAATATAAATGGTTCTGCTGGATCAGATGAAAAATCAGATTATTGTAGCCATAAGCATCCAGGGTAGAAGCAAGAAGTGGGGTAAATAACCACTCAGGTCTCATGGTATCATTACACATAGTGCAAGATGTATGCTTGTGTCAAATAATATGACATGAATAATTGCACTATTGGTGTGATGATGTCATGAATGCTATGTCATCATTTTAACATCATGAGGTTGACAACTATGTCACGCAAAATGCAATCAGTTCCCAATTATGGGAACATTCTCTGAAATTAGTAGGAGAGGAAATTAAGAAATCCTCATACTTTTATGCCCCTGGAATTAGAAGAAAATGTGCATATTGAAGTGACCATACTTTAAATTTAAGAAGAAAACAAAATAGATGATACTCTTCCTTCGTTCCTTCTGCTCTGTTGAGACTAGGAATGTTCGGGAATATTGCTTGAGGCTCTACCATAGGCATCCAAAGCATTTTGGAGGGAGTGGCCATAACAAACTTATAGTAAATAATAATACCACCATTGCTCAACCCATTATCAGACCAGGTACTGGTTAAAGACCCCACCTGCTCAGCTTCAACAAAACGATGTACCTCCCACTCTCCTTTTAAACAATTCATTACAACCTATAATTTTCTTCCTTTTTGAAAAAAATACGAAGGGTCCACAATTCTACATAGTCAATTTAGCAATCAAGATAATAACTTTTGAATGTTGATATCATCTAGTTTATGCTTACTTTTCAGATGGTACAAATAAACCTGGAGAGAGGAAGGATTCAGGTGAGATACACAAAATCTGGAAAAAAAAGAAGGCAAAACTCAAAACATTCCAATTTTCATTACCTATCAACAGGTTTTTTTTGTAGCTTCCTTTTTCAGTTGCAAAGTGATTTATGCTCATTAAAACTTTTTATTCTTTTTTTTTTACAGATCTAGATAAAAACCCTGCTTCAAAGGTTCCTGAAGTCCTAATGTGCAAGCATAGCTTCTTATGATCGAGGGTTCTCCTTTGTTCCTGAAGTGAAGTTAGAAGCCTCCAATCATATGAAGCTTTGGAGTACATTAGTGCACAGTGGTGTTTCAAATTAGCTGGGATATAAGAAATGGATTTGGAAAAACTAAATATTGACCTTTATTCATATACCACTAATTTTGTTGTACAAGGGGAAATGACAATAAAGTAAACTATCAACTACCAGCTATCACTCTAACTCATTTTTACAGTGGAAATATTAAAACAAAATCTTTTTAAAATATTTCATAATTGGGGAACTATTTCTTATTGATTTGTTTAGCAAAATGCATTATTCTTTTAAATTGGTTATCAAATGCATTATATTCCACATAGAAGTTATGTATTCCAGCTATTTTGATGTATTATTTTTCTTCCCTCAGGATTAAACTGCGGACTAAGAATTATATAATTACTGAAGTATATAGCTGAAAGAAGGAATTTATCTCTAAAGATGAGTTCTTTCGCAGAGAAACACACATAGAGCAGCTTGGTTGTTGATGGATAAAGATTTAGTAGCAACACTTGGCAATAAAAAGTGCACATGAAGTTTTTGCCATATAGCGTAGCATACCATGCATATGATACAGATAGAAATATGATAAGGTTTGGTACATTCATCCATCTAGCCATCACTCTAGATGCAGCCATCAACATTAATTGTCCATGATCTATATAGGGAGACAAATGTTGGAAAGATAATCTGTTGCAGTACGATAAGTATAGAGTCAAGGGATTTCTCTGCTGGTTCTTGAAATTCCTCTGCAGATTTTTTTTTTTTCATTGAAATGGCTATTCCAAGTTATTCTCTTTTTCCTCATAAGATGACTCAGACTTTGATATTCACAACCCCACAAAGTTGGCCAGAAGACCATAAAACTATGACCATAAGATATACGGTGCAACCTCGGGTCACGAACACTTCTATTCGCGACCAAATCGGGTGGCGACCAAAAAATCCACTCGATTTTTGAATCAGGTCATGATTCAAAAATTGGGTGGTGAACAAAATCGGAGCAGAAAGATTCCCTTTCCATGCTGATTTCCCCTTCTGCACCATTTTTTGTATGTCCACGCATGTGTAGTCAGTCATGCTTCCAGTCACAACCAAATCAGGTTGGGACCGTAGTCCTGGAATGGATTACGGTCGCAATCTGAGGTTCCACTGTACATTAACATGAAACTTTCTATAGCACTATATTCTTCATTAGATTCCAGTAGCATACATCTATCTAGACTCTAGTCCAGAGATTTATATCTTGTACATATCAAACATATGTCTATGCATGCAAAAAATTACATTAAATGTATCTTCTACTGAAAGGATGGAAGAGAGCTTTCACCAGCAGGATAATTCTTGCAGCAATTGATATGAAGGATTTTATTATGCAAAAAAAAAAAACTTAATTTTTTTTTTTCTCAGGCAAGGCCAAGGATTAGAAATTAAAAGACTTATTTACTGTTGCCCAATATTGTATAGTTAACTAATAGGGACCTGGGCATCATTCAGCACTAGCATCACCACCTCTTTTAGCTCAATAGATAGAATTTCGCTTAGCTACCTACTTGGGTATTCCCAAGACCCCACTTTCATTCCACAGTTGGGTGCAGCTTAGAACTGAGATGGGATCACCATGCTATGCGTCTTAAAACTTGAAACCCAATGAAGTATTCTGTGTTCATTCTTGAAACAATGAAGCCATTCCAATGGTAAAGGCTACTGCAAAGACTGTAACTGACAGTTACAGCTCATATCACTAGTATATAATAAAACTCTACTCCATTCATAAGTGTGTGCTCTGTATGCCACTTTTCTTACTTCAGTAACCTTATCTTACCTTGAAAGAGAGTTATGGGGAGGGCATGTCTATTTTTAAGAAGTAATATTAATGCCAAAAAAACCAGAAACCTAGGTAAGCATTGCTTAGTTAATAGGTTCATTCTGATAATGGCTATTTTCCCTTGTTTTCTATACTAGTATGGTCTGCAGGAGAAGAAGGAGAAAAACAAGATTCACAGAAATCTGTTTTATTTGTTGAAAAACCAAAAGGTGGCTCAATTAGTGTAGGTAAGTGTAAAAAGAACAATTACACCTGCAACCCTGTTCATACCTATCTGGCAAAAAAGGACTTACTTCTCTGTAAACATTTATAGGATTAGGTTGCATATAGATGCATGATATGCAGAGGTGGTATTCAGCAGGTAGCGGTAGCGGAAATTTTGAGTAGTTTGGAGAACCAGTAGTGGAAATTTTGAATAGTTTAGAATACCACTTCTGACTGGCCTCAGCCCCATCTATTCTCTGCCTCCCGAGTCCCTGCTGATTGGCTGGGTCTTCTTTTGTTGCCCTGCACAGGAGAACAGAGCTGGAAAGCAGGTTAGTAGGGTGGGGAGGGAATGGGGATTTTACAGTATCCTTCCCCTGGAGTGGGGAGGGAATGGAGATTTTGCAGTATCCTTCCCCTGCCACGCCCACCAAGCCACACCCACCAAGCCACGCCATGCCCACAGAACCGGTAGTAAAAAAAATTGAATGCCACCACTGATGATATGGTTCATGATAAAGCTCATTGTGATTATGAATTAGCATTGCTCACGGACCTCTAGTCAGTGAATGTGGATGTAATGCACTCATACAATCATATACTTAGGTTGCCCAACCACAACATTGAATCAGAATCTTTTTTCCATAAATTGAAGCTATTCTTCCATGTCCTACACCCAGAATGAGAAGAACATGTCTTAATCTTCCTCAGGGTGACATCCTTTCCAGCATTGTAAGAGGACTATCATGTTTCCTCTCAGGCATATTTTCTCAAGGCTAAATTTACCATCACTTTAAATCTCTTTTTGTAGGATTGATCTTTTAATCCCTTGATTGTTTTCATTGTCATTCTCTGAACCTATACCAATTTTTCTCAATCCTTAAAGTCTGGTGTCCAGAATTTGCTGATGATCCAGCCTCAAATTGCATTCTTTGCTAGTCTCTCTAGAAAAGAGACGAGCATTTCTGTTAGTCCATGTTCAATTTGCAATCTCTTACTTCTCTAAGCCATTTTCCACAGCACAGTTATCCCATCCTATATTAGGGCATGTGGTGTGTTTTTTTTTAAGGGAAGAACTTTACATTGGTCCCTAGTCAAGTTAATGTTACTTGCTGATCATTTTCTTTTAGCCAATTAGTTTTTTTTATATCTGGACTATCTACCTGTACTTTTCCTTTGGTGTTTTTTCTTCTTTCAATATCCTTTCATTTTCAGTAAGCTTTATATGTAACCAAGTGGGCTGTTTGTGTCATAGAGGCATAGCAATCATCCAGTTTGCCTAATTGTGGCACTTCAGTGTTGTTCTGGGGCTTCTTCTACTACCTCTGGAGCAGGAGAAAGCAATAAGTGAAATCCTAAAGAAAACTTAAGAAGTGTTACAGCAGCTTCACCAACTCTTTAAAAGAATACGTTGCTTTCAAGCAGCTTCAAGTGTCCTCTTCCATCATCCCAGTTATTGGAAGTAAACACAAGGTTGAAAGTATACAAGTGAATCTTTCCCTACTTCCATTCCCTGTTCCCTAGCAATGATCTGATCCTTAGATAGGGGCTGGATATTATTTCTCCCCACCCACCCACCCCCGTTTCTCATGAAACAAACCATCCATAGTTTAATAACATTGTTTGGTTTCCTTCAGTTGAATTAATTATTTATATAAAAATAATGAAATAAATAATTTGGTATGTCAGTCTCTTATTTCATTATTAAAAAGGGGTGTTTTTTAACGAAGTAAAAACAATAAAAATTTAAAGAAAAAGAAGAGATGTTAACTGTCCAATTAGTGAACCCACAACAAGGAAACACTCTCAAGAGAATTGAATTCCCAAAGTAAAACTTTATTGGATACACCATTTTGATACTGAAGAAACAAAATCAGCTCAGTTAAACAATACTTTCTCCTCCCCTGGATGATCACATTGTCCAATTATGAGATGTTCTTTTGTTATGGTAACAATCCATCTCTTTCTCAGGCACCTGCAACGGTGACCTTGATGGCTTCCATGCTCTTACAATCTCTGCATATATTCTCCACATTCTATTTCCCCATTTCCCTCCCCAGTTCATTGGCAAGTTGACAAATATTAAGATTTGAAAGAAGCAAAGTGGTTCAATCTTGACAAACAATGAATAAACAAGGAAAAAAAGAAAAAAAAGTGAAGAAGAAGAAGAAAGAAAAATGAGATATAAAGAAGTGTCTTGTGATTTTCTTTATAGCAAATGCATTTATATTTTATTCTCCCTATATGTAGTTATAGAGGAGCTCCCTTCATTCCATATTCTGCCCTTTCTAATCATCAATCTCATAAACAACAGGTTTATGTTTTTTTCTAGCTATGGCAAAAAGTCCATAAGGGGTTTCCGTCATGACAAATGTTATTGTCTAAGATTTTTATTGTTAGGGAATTTGTTATTCCCTAATTAAACAAGCCAATTTTGCCTTTTCTGCAAATTTCCATTGTGTGCCTTTCAGTCTTTCCAGCTTTAGAATTTGGTATTTAAATCTCATTTACATGTGTCAGATATTCCCTATTGAATAATTCTATTTTGATTTATGTTGGTTGTCTTGCTTGTTTTCAGGGCAAAATATCACATTCATAGCGAAAGTAGAAGCTCAGGATCTTCTTCGGAAACCCACTGTTAAGTGGTTTAAAGGAAAATGGATGGACTTGGCAAGCAAAGTTGGAAAGCATCTTCAGTTAAAAGAAACATTCGAGCGACAAACCAAGGTATATATAGAAAGATAACCTTTTCCAAAATATACCATTCCAAATATATTCACTTTAAAAAAATATCATTTAAGTTTTAAACCAAATTGTCATTTATAATTCTACTACTCGGCAAATGTTAGCACCACAATAAACATACCTCTAAAGAAAATAATTTAATGGTGGTGGGTGGGACCATTTATCTAAAATGACATGCTTGGAAAAATAGAAAGATGATATGGGATTTATTGATCCAAGTGATTCTTGTGATTACACAGTAATGGATTGTCTTAGGCTCAGTCCATAGGACATAGGTTCCAGGCAAACTGTGAGCTCATAAAATTGTTGGGAAATGGGGAATTCTGTGATCAAAAGGAGAAGGCATAACAGACTTGGAGTCAGAATAATTACAATGCAGTTTGGGAGACCCAAAATTGTCATGTTCTGGATGGTCAGAAGAAGGTCAAGATGGGGTTTTGGAAATCAATTATTTGCAGAAGTAGTATGGCAAAATAACAGAACTAAGAAATGTGAAAAAGAAGTAAAAAATTCAATCCATTTCATTATGTCAAAATACAAGATGCTCATAAGTAAGTGTACTTAGTTTCCAATTATTCTTGCGATTTTATATGAATAATTGCATTATACCTTTGGCTTTCAGATGTATACATTTGAGATGCAAATAATCAAAGCTAAGGACAATTATGCCGGAAATTATAGATGTGAAGTAACATATAAGGATAAAGTTGATAGCTGTTCTTTTGATCTGGAAGTTCATGGTAAGAATCTTGTTTTACATATATATATTTTAAAATGGTGAATATGTGTCCTATGTTAAGATAAAAACTTCTGTTCCCAAAACTAACCTTGAATTTATTTATTTATGCCATGTTAGATTTCAGCTCCTGTAATTCCACAAACAAAATAGATTAACTCTGTGAACAAGTGGGATTATATGAAATGAAATCTATCCCAGGCTTTGGAAAGGCTACTTTATATTTACTTAAATTTTAAATGGCCTCCAGGCTCAGCATTTTCTTCCATATTTGAAAATTATCCTTCTGTATTTTTAGCACTATTCAGAAATAATGAGCAGGAGTGTGCCATCCTGAACAACATTTTAGAACTGGAATTGAAATCTAAAAGGGTTTTTTGATTTGGCACTATGAAGTGGAGCTGAGGAAACTAAATTCAGAAAGAAAGAAAAAGAAGAGATCAAGAGACTAATAGGAGATAAAAGCATCAAGAATGGAACAGAATGTCATTTGTTAGGCCCAGTGAGGGAGTACTATATCCCTAGAGTTTTGCATCTCTATCCCCATTTCAAAGAAATGTCAGTCATATCTGGAAATAAGAATGGTATCAATTATTCTGACAATTTGGCAACTAGCTCATATCCCAAGCTTTGGGTCCTAGGATATAAAGTGTTTCTGACAAAGAATTATGAGTATACAAGACTCGTGAATTTGATCAGGGTTCTAACTGGAACATCCAGAAAATTCACAAGGAAGATCTTCTGAAAGTCTACAGGACAGACTAGAGATCCATTGGTCTCCTCTACTGCTACTGTTGCATCCCAACAACTGGTACTGAATAGCTAACTGCTCCTGAATGTGAAAGTTTCATGTAACATTTTGGCTAATATCCATGGAAAGACCTATCTATCTCCACCATCTTTTAAAGCACTCACTTTAATTCACAGTTGGCGGGAGAAAGGATTCAGAATATCTTTGAGCTGGTGAGCTCATGCTATATCCTTGAAGCAATTATTTCTGAAGCTTGCTGAAGTATTCAGTGTATATTTGGACAAAGTACAGGATGGATACCAGGGCTGACAGCTCAAGACTATAAATTTATCCTTTAGGAATGTCAAAAACAGCTTTCATCTTGACTAGAGCAAAAGCTTTTCCCGTTAGTAGATCTTCATGAAACCCCCAAAAGAAAAGGCATTAAGCCTTAAACTCCGTTGAAACCAAACTTTTCCTATCTTTGTAGACAAAAGAATGAAATAAAGGGCCATCAGATTTTGAATTATTTTAGCATAGGTATAGATTTGTTTTCAGAAAAGAAGAGCTTACCCAGACATGTAAGCAGACTTTGCCTCATTAATGCATGATGAAATCATAGTGATTTAGAACCATCAAAACACCTTAGAGGTGTCTATATTAACACATCCTATTCTACATTTTTCTAGGAGAGTGAACTGTTTTTTCCAAACAGCAGATGTTGGAAAGCGGGATCATAGGTGTTGGATAATAGAACTATCTTTGCCAAAATCATTTGGTGAAACTCCCTGTGCAAAGAAAGTCAGTTCTATCTTTTAGAAATGAAATGAGAGTTGGAGAAAGGGCCATCTTTGAATTCCCTCAGGCAGTAAACTATCTTAGGTTGTCTCTGTCTCTCAGAATCATGTGATGGCAATCAAGGAGCAGAGCAGCAGCTTTGCCATCAGTTTGGTATCCCAGTTGGATGAAGTTTACAAACAACGATGAAAAACTTCTTAGGATATACTTTTAAGTCTCAGCTTTAACATTAAGCATAGATGATCAGAGCCTAATACTTGTCTAGCATGTTTAAATCTGCCTTAGTGGCCCTGTAAGAGAACCAGGTTGATGTAATGGTTAAGGTATCAGGCTAGAAATTGGGACATTTTGGACATGGAGCCATCTGGGTGACTTTGGGCCAATTACACACTCTCTCTCAGCCCTCAGAAGAAGGCAATGGTAAACCTCTTCTGAAATCTCACCAAGAAAACTTCAGGGACTTTTCCAGGCAGTTGCCAGGAGGCAACACTGATGTGGAGGAACCAAAAAAAAAAATTATCCTATGGAGATTTGCAGCATATAATGTATTTATGGATTAAACCGAGTCCATCCAAGATCAAAGGATTTAGAACCTCAGAAGGCCACAACTCCTGGACTTTTGCTGACCATATGGCTGTCAATAACATCTAGGCAGGCCTTCCAAATATCCAAGACTTCCAGTAGTTGGCAGCAAACCCAGAGAGTTGTTCACTCTAGCAACACAAGTCTACCAGATTACCAAGGTCAGCATCTTCATTAATCTGTCAAGTCATCAGGGAATGGACGTTAATGGAATGTCCAGCAGCTGACAGCTAACCAGACAAACCACAACCTCTGGCTCAATTCAGAAGCAGGCTGGCAAATAGCCAACCTTTTGGCAGACATAAGCTTCTGTAAATGGCTTTGTCTAATTACGTGCCTAATCAAACACAAGGTGAACCTGACCTCTGTGTTTACCAATGTAGTCAGATGTTTTACTGACTTCTAAAGACATTTTTTTTTCAATCAGTATGAAGAATTTAAGGGATATCCAGATTATAGGAACACTTTATGATTTATTTTAGATGTTCTGATTGTATAAGCTTATGCTCTATTTTTAGCTCACAGTTATTTTGGCTATAATATATTTAATTAATTAAATAAAATCTTTATAACAGATATGTAATCCATGATATGCTTTTATTTGCGGAACCCATTTTTCTTGGAGAGTAGAATGGGAAATATCCATTTCTCCCATAATTCTCTGGGCACTTTTCAGAATTTGCTCCAAGGGCAAATTCTTCCAGAGCACATTTAAAAGGGCCTTCAGATGAGGGAAAGGAAGAGAGAAACTTTTCATGGAAGTCTGCTTGTACAATGTTGGGTTGAATCCCTTTTACTTTTACATCATTCTACTTTGTTTCTGGTTATCTAAAAATTCATTATCTTTAGAAAACAACTGCAACAATACAGGTAGTCCTCGGCTTACGACCACAGTTGGGTCCAACATTTTTGTTGCTAAGTGCCACCGTTGTTAAGTGAATCACTGCAGTTAAGTCAGTAGAATGGTTGTTTAGTGAATCTGGCCTCCCCGTTGACTTTGCTTGTCAGAAGGTCGCAAAAGGGGATCACATGACCCCGGGACACTGCAACCGTCATAAAAATAAGTCAATGGCTAGCCATCTGTATTTTGATCATGTGACCACAGGGACGATGCAATGGTTGTGTCAAAAACTGTCATAAGTCCCTTTTTTCAGTGGTGTTGTAATGCTGAACAGTCACTAAATGAACCGTTGTAATTTGAGGATTACATATACAGATACTCCTCAACTTACAACTGTTCATTTAGTGGCCATTCAAAGTTACAACAGTGCTGAAAAAAGGGACTTATGCCCATTTTCCACAGGTAGATCACGTGATCAAAATTCTGATCCTTGGCAGCTGGTTCATATTTATGACTGTTGCTGCATCCCAAGGTCACGTGATGCCCTTTTGCGACCTTTTGACAAGCAAAGTCAATGGAGAAGCCAGATTCAATTAAACAACCAGGTTGCCAACTTACCAACTGCAGTGATTCACTTAAAAACCAAGGCAAGACAGGCCATTCCATGGAGCAAAACTCACTTAACAAATTTCTCACTTAACAACAGAAATTTTGGGCTCAATTGTGGTCATAAGTCAAGGACTACATATATATATATAATCACAAACCAAATCACTGCAAGATGAAATTCTTCATCAAAGGTTATTGATTATGTTCTATCACGCAACTGCAGTGCAGGCTAGTAGCGTTTTGTTTAAAACTTTCTATTGTAGGGCTGAGAGAGAATAACTGACTCCAAATCAACTGGATGGTTTCTATGCCTACCGAAGACTATAACCTTTGTCTCTCTATTGTTAGTCTTGCACTTTAATCAGGGGACCACACATTCTTATTTATCTCTCTGACTTGCTCTCTCTTTGTCTCTTCCCTACATAATTTCCTTGATTATTATATTTGATTATATTGCAGATACAGGTTTGCAAAATTGCTTTCACTTTATGAAGGATCTCTTTTATTATTTTTAATATTTATCATTTCAGGTAAACCGTTCTTAATAATGAATTTCAAAGAAGTTTATAATACTGCCAAGAGTTAGATCCTTTTGTCACTTGCCAATAGGATTCTGTTCACCTGTGTGGATACATGATTACTTGAGCTGTACACAGCATTGACTGAACATACCACATTCTAAATCAAATAAATGTCATATATCACACAGTCACTCTCTGCCCAGGTTTTAACCTTGAAAAATGTCAAAAATTTAAACTTTATTTTTTATTTTATTTTTTAGAAACAGGACCTACGCAGTCATTAGATATCCGGTCTGCATTCAAAAGAAGGTAATTTTAAATGATCTTGAAAACTCCTTCAGTAAAAGGTATTGAAAACATCACACAAGTTACACTCTCTTTTAACACCCTTTGCAGGAAGTAGATTCAAACAAAGCTAAAATCGGTGGCTACTCTGATTGTCCCCTACAAAACCCTTTACCTGACCTTTTTGTTCCAAAATTGGTCACCTTAATTTTAGGTAGAGATCACTACTTCTCTGTTGCTAATATTAGCAGAGAGACATTGTCTGGAGCAGGAAAATTGGAAAGAATTAAAGTCCCCATCACTACAACTTTCAGGAACTCTGCAAAATTCTCTACTGCAATTTGGCAGCAGGAATGCTGCTGTGAGGAAGAAGTTTGTAATTATGGACATGTGGGTTTGTCTGGATGTTTGCTTTTTGTCTGAGAAATGGGAAAGGCTCCAACATCTTAAGCAACTTCCAATTCTTCACGAAGCAATTGAAAAACATGAACTATAAGATCAGATCAAACAGCATGTATGGTAATATAACTCAGAGCTTTAAAATGTTACTGGTGCCTTCTGTAATTATCTGACTGTGAGTTCCACAACTTTTATAGATTTAGGGTGAGAAATTTAGGGGATCTGCTCCAGATATAGAAAGTCCCTATAATCCCCTTTCCTTTGATGTTTTCCACTTCATTGAGTGGCCTCCAGTGAGGCCAGATACTTACACACAGATTGCTACTAAGCCAAGAAAGCAAGAAAAACCCATTCGTTCTGCCAACTAATTTTATATGGTCTCCTTTGACCAACCTTACCTAGATAGACTGGTCACCTTGAACATATTAAATAAAAAAAGAACTGGTGACAAGAGTGTAAATCACTTGTGGAGCTTACATTTCCTTCACTTAAGAAGCAGTTGAGAGAAGTTCTTCAGATCCTGACCAGCTGCTACCCGTTAGAACAGATTGTGAGATTTAACCTTACAGACATCTTAATTAAATGTAAAGTAAAAAACAATCAAGACTCTGACTTGTGAAATGACCTTTTATGGATTAAGATCACTTAGATGCACCACATATAAGGCACCACTTGTCTCAGAATTATTCAGACTTAATAGCTTTTCAAAAATCTGTTGCCACAAAGAAGACGTATTATTTTTATATATAAAATCACATTAAAATTGCAATTAAATGCAAGTTATATGTTCTAGTTCTCTTAGATGGGGAGGAATAGCACAGAGATGGGGAGGAAGGGAAAGCTAAATATTATGAATATTTGAACAAACTAATCTTTCCTTAAAATTCCTGATTACATTTTCTATATAGTATTTTGCAGTTTTTCAAAGTATTGTTACTTTTGGACTATTTTTTAAAAAATTCTGTTCAGTCATGTCTGATTCTTGGAAACTGCCTGGGCAAATCCCTGCACTTTTCTTAGCCAGTTTTTTCAGAAGTTATTTGCCATTGCCTCCTTCTTGGGGCTGAGAGAAAGTTATTGGCCCAAGGTCATCCAGTTGGCTTTGTGCCTAAGGTGCAGTGGTGGGATTCAAAAAATTTTACTACCAGTTCTATGGGCATGGCTTGGTGGGTGTAGCAGAAGAAGGATACTGTAAAATCTCTAGTCAGAGGTGGTATTTGCCGGGTCTCCAAGCTACTCAAAATTTCCACTGCCGGTTCTCCAGAACTGGTCAGAACCTGCTGAATACCACCTCTGCTAAGGTGGAACTAGAACTCACAACCTCCTGATTTCTAGCCTCATGACTTCACCACTATTCCAAACTGGCTCTCAGGTATTGGACCACGAGTCTCTTGTTATTAAATACATTTGAGCAGCTGAATCCTTTGTTGACTATAACTATATTCTATCCAACTCCATGAAGACCTCCTGGCTCCTTTACTCAGTCAGAAGGACTCATACATCTTCAGACATTCAAGCATTTAATTCTGCATGAACTTGAAGC